TCTCACCTGTAGCTCAGGCGATAAACGAGCGTCTCTTTAAAAAGTGCTGATGTGTGGTGATGCAGCATTAATCTCATTATTATGATAAAGTTCATGTGGAAATCGACTGTTGCAAGCTCTGAGGATACCGAGGTCTTCCTCCAGAAGCTCGGCCATCTTTATGCTGACTCTGAGCCCTCGACTCGCCGTCCACCTGAGTGACCTGTTGGTGGGTTAACAGTCAGAGGGTTAACAGTCAGAGGTCAGCACTTCAGTCATAAAACTGGAGCTTTTGCTGAGTGTGAACTCGGTTTGTGAGGATTTAAATCAGCTTTTGACTCAGCGCAGCGTCGAGTGGGAATAAATGACAGCTCGGAGTCGCTGACGTCTTTGTTTTTCTCTCTGCAGTCGGACTTCCAGTCGGCGCTGAAGATCCACAATGCCGTGGCCAGCAGCATGCACCGACCGTCTCCGCCGTACCCCAACACGCAGCAGGCGCTTCCACTCGCCATGGAGGTAACACACCTGCGGTAATGGAGCAGAAAGTTTAGCTTCATCAGTCTGGATGTGAGCTAAACACTTAAAGCTGGTCTTTAATAGTCGATCCTTTGTTATTTCTCACCTCTTTGTGCTGCAGATCAAACTGAGTTAGTGGTTGTCTGTCCAAAGCTGCTGTGAAGGGGCAGCACAGCGGGGACACGTTCACTGTAGTATGTTTGTAGAGCTGCAGTAGGTCACACACTGTTTCCTGCAGGACCATTTTCAATTCACCAACATCGTTCATGATCTTTCTTTTCCTTTGCAGTCACACAGGTGATTGGTCAAAGCAACACCTGATCGATTCACTGCAGGTGAATCGATCAGGTGTTGCTTTGATCAAACTAACACAAACTCAGCTGAAACAACCCGGTTTAACCAAACTCAGCTAATCCAAACCTACAAAAATGTTGTATGTCGGACTCGTCCAGCTGCTCCACGATGTTCTGCCTGATGTCTGTGTCTCATCCACATTTGTCCTGGGATCAAACTTGTGTGGTTCCCTTTCCCACTGAGCCCGCAGTCTTCTTGAGGGGCGGGGTCTGGTTCATCACACCGTCGGTCACTCGGGAGTTTTCTTGCGTGCTGCGAAAGCGAGGCTAAGCTCGGTGCTGGGGTTTGCGCTCCTCGGGCCTCGTTTCAGAGGCAACTCATTAAAAGCAGCACACCATCCATGTTGGCGTCTCCGCCCCCGCCCTGCGTTTGGCTTCCAGAATCAAAGAGAAAAGAAGAGCTGGCGTGCACACTGTCCTCACAAACATGCTGTTTCTTCATCAGGAACGAAGCAGAGACGTGCTGCAGCAGTGCAGGAGGACGGTTTCAGTGCAGCACACCGCTGTTCACGTCAGAGATCTGCCTTTGATCTTTAATACAACAGAAATATGAGCGTGAGAACCGATCTGTTAAAGTCCTTACTCACTGCTCGTGCACTTACCCAAAGTTTCCTCCTCTTCTTCTTCTGTTCTTCCTCACGTCACCCCAACGCTGATCAATC